CTTTCTGGAAGAGATTGTGTAAAATTGGTGTCAATCCTTCTTTAAATGTTTGGTGGCATTTTCCAGTGAAATCCTCTAGGCCTGGGTTTTTCTTTTGGAAGGGACGTTTTAATTATAAACTCAGTGTCTCCAGGAGTCATTGTACTATTCTGTTGTCTGCTTAGTCTTGGTTGAGTGTTGGCAGTCTGTGATCTTCCAGGGAACCGATCCCCTGAGGTGTCAAGTATGTGCGTGTAGTGTCGCTGGCGGTATTCCCTGCGTACCACCCCGCAGCTGCAGGAGGTGTCCTCCTCTTTCTTGTCTCATCCCCGATATTGCTGATCTCTTTTTCTGTTTCTGTCATTCTTCCCAGAGATTTGTCAATTTTATTGATTTTTTTTTTTTTGAGGAACCAGCTTCTTATTTCATTGAGCTTTCTCCATTGTTTTCTGATTTTCAGTTTCATTGATCTTTGCTGCTAATATTTCCTTCCTTCTGCTTTCTTTGGGTTTATTTTTTGGTCTTCCTTTTTTAATTTCTTGCGGTAGGTACTTAAACTATTGATTTGAGGCCTGTCCTCGTTTCTTTTATAAACAGTGCCATAAATTTTCCTCTCCACACTGCTTTAGCTGTATCCCACATATTTTGATATATTGTATTCCATTTTCACTCAGTTCTATGTGCTTTTACTCCCTCTGAGACTTCCTGTTTGGCCCATGAATTATTTAGAATTGTGCTAGTTAGTTTGGAGATTTTCCTCTTGTCTTTTTGCTACTGATTTCTCGCCTGATTCCATTATGGTCGGACAGCACACTGTACAATTTCAATTCCTTTAAGTTTATTGAAGTTTGCTTTATGGCCCAGCACATGCTCAGTCTTGGTGAATGTTTCATGAGTGCTTGAAAGGAATAATGTGTATTCTGCTGTGAAACCTGCTTTTCAATTATAAATTGTATATACCACCCCCAGCAATAGTTTAGGATTAAAGGAGAAGGTTGATGAAGTTTAGCTTTTCCATTTTTAAAGAAAAAAAAATGTATGCCTATCTTATCAAGTCTTGTTTCTACTGTGATAATATTATAATTAAATGTTGATTGATCAGTCCATTCATCGTCTGTCCAACACAGAAACGAGTATGCACGCTTATATTCGGGTGTCTGTGGAGCACCTACTGTGTGCGAGGTAGGCAGCTGGGTGTTGAAAGGGTTGCAAAGATAAGTAAGCAGAGCCTCTGCCTGTAGAGCTTCTCCCCTGGTCGGATGGGAGGGACGTGGCTGAGGCCGGTGCCCCCGAGGAGGGAGGTCTGGAGAAGTGGCTGTAGCCGCCCAGCGAAGAGCATCTGGTTGAGGAGCATGAGGTGTCGGGTAAGTCTTGGAGAGGAGGTAGCAACTGAGCTGGGTCTTGACTGATGAGCTCTCCATGCGGACGATGGCTGAGGGCATTCCGGGTGGGAGGAACAGTGTCCACCGCGGCCAGGAGAGTGCACGAGTGTGAGAGAGTACGAGCAAGGTGTTTGTGGTGACCGTGGTGCAGCATGTGGGGTTTGGGGAGGGGACAAGCTCCAGAAAACAAGAGTCAGGAGAGTCTCAACCGCTAAGTTCAGGCACTTGGACAGACCCACTGCAGGTTCTCCATGAGGGGTGTGATTTGAATCAATCCGTGTTTCGGAAGTTCCGTCTGGGGTTTGTGAGGGTGCACTGGAGGTAAAGGTGAAGGAAGCTGGGAAGAAGGCGCAAGATTAAGAGAGCCCACACCCGCGCTGTGCGGATGGCGGTGAGACACGTCGCAGGGGATTTGGAGGCTCATTAATAGAGCGGTGGAGGGGATTATCCACGATGACTCAACATGCTTTGGTTTATGTGACCGTGTAGTGATGATGCCAGCAATCAAAGTGTGGGACGCAGTCTCGGCTGAGGGTGCTCCGCCGACTTGGGATGCACGCGGTGTGCAGTAGCTGTGGGGCGTCTGGGCCCGTGTGTCTCAAGAGGGTTGGGGGGTCCTAACAATTTGTGATTGTGACCTTACTTTCCAGGAAAGGGTTAGGGAAGGTAATTGAATATGTGCTCTAACCCCAGATGGAAATACCTGAAATCCCTTCCACCTCAGGGTGTCTGAGCTCCAAGGTCCCCAGCAGTTAAAGCCCCCTAAGCCGCTGAGGTCGCTGTAGGGATCAGGTGGGCAGTATAGGACAAGGGGCTAAGAGAAGAGTGACCCTGGGGGGGCTCTGGCCCGGTCACGTGGGACAGAGGGTGCAGAGGGGCTGCCCGGGGGCCACGCAGGGTCCCGGAGGAGGAAGGAGCCTGGCTTGGATGAAGGGTACTTTCTGCACTCATCTGTAGGAAGGCTCAACCCAGCCCCCTTACGTGTGTAGATGGGGTGGGGAAGGCAATGATAGGGGACAAATGTTACGAGCACCTCCCTTATAGTTGCTCTTCATTATGTGGACGTTTTCCTCTGTTTCATTTATTCAAAGAAGAGGCCAGGGCAACACCCCAGCTCAAGCCACAGCCTGGTCCAGGTGGATATCAGACTTCACTTTTCAGAGGATGTTTATTAAAAATACAAAGTGGCAGAAGAAGGTAACTTCTTCCAAAGAAAAGAGAGAAGACTCCTGGCTGAATTGTTTGCTAAAAAAAAAAAAAAAACCCCAATTGTTGCCAGTTAAGCAAGCAGACAGACACGGTGGGGAGACATCCCGTTAAGCTCCGTGGCCAGGAAACAGAACCTTAAGTGCATTTTTGCCCACCATTAGTAGGTAAAAGGAGAAACTGGAAATTTCTTTCTTGGGAATTGAGAAAACTGGAAGTGATGTCATCTTTTTAGAATTTTTCTAACAGAGTCACCATTTTTCAGTAGCTGGGGAGCCTATTGATGCTGTTCAGTGCATGGACTATGTCACGGCAAGGTTGAGGGAGGGCGGATGGCCTGGCACGGCCGCCCCCCCCCCCACCATGTTCTCTGGCTGAGGGCACCTCCCTTGGCTCCACATCCCGCAGGCCTCCTTTTCCAAAGCTCTCGGGGGTGGGGTGGGGAGGGCGGGCAACCAGTAAAGAGGAAACAAAATATAAATTTTAAGCCTAGATGTTGTCAGCTGGTTCCAGCAGAGCTAGAGGACAGCAGATTTGGGCAGGAATCCAAGCAGCAGAAACACTGAGAATATAAAAGGAGCAAAAAGCTTTCTTTGCTGCTCTATCGATCGAAAAAAAAACAAGTCCGTTCAAAAATCCGCCAGAATGTCTTTCTGGAAACTCAAACCTGGAGGAAGATGAGCTGGATTCGACAGCCATTCTATGTGACCATCTCCCCCACTCAGAGAGTGGCCTTTGTCGGTGTTTGAGCTCATCCATAAAACATCTTGAAAGTTTCACCCAGATGAGTGTATTTGCTGAGGCTGTTACCATCTTTTTTTTTTTTTTTTTTAATTAGAAGTTGTGATAGGAGGCTTTGTCCAGGTACCAGCTGAGAAGCAGGTACTGAATCCGCCATCTGGGCAAGCGAGGCCGACAGAAACAGGGGTGAGGCTTCTCTGCGGGGATGCCCCCAACTCTGCTCTTGGGCAGGACAACCGATACCTTGCCTTCATGCTCTCCAATTTTAAGCTTGAAATACTACATCGTGGTATGTGATTAAAAAGATCTCGGTGTAGCACATTCAGGGCCCGAGCAGGGAGTCACGAGGCAAGGGCCGATCAGGAGGAGCCTGGTGTCCCCGCTGGGCATGGGGCATGTGCTTAATCGGTCTCTGCTGAGCAAGTGGGTCCCTTGTGTCCTCTCCCTCTCCTGTTCCTCCTTTGTCTCTGATTCTGCCCCCCACAATCCTCCCCTCCTTCCTCCCTGGCTCAGTCAAGTGCAGTCTCTGGAGTTGGACATGGGGAGCGGGAGGCCTGTGGGGCCCTGCAGAGGCAAGCAGAGCAAACCTGAGCCAGCAGCCCCACTAGCTGCAGGAAATGGCCCGCTGACCCACACCCGGCTCCGTCAGCAGTGGAGCCCATCTCTGTCTCCTTCCCTTGCCCCCATCCCCAGGCCATCCCAGACTCCAGCCTCCCGTAAAGCACGTCCTTTTCCCTCTGCCCCCCAGGCCTGCCCCCACAGACCTGGGAAGGAAGCAGCCCTATGAGAGGGCCTGCAAGCAGGGGCTCCGTGTCCTCACTGACCTGGCCTGGCCTTGCACGCCACAGCTGCAAAGCGGTTGAGGGGTCCAGGCAGGAGGCTCGTCAGGGCCCCTGGAGCTGAATATCCATGACCTTGGACTGTTCACCTCATGATGGGCCTCTCAGACTTCTACTCTGGCTGCTTTCCAAAGTGGCAGACAGTTCGTCTGAGAAATGACTTTGTGTTGGGATAGTAAGACAACTAGGAACTAAGAGTAGCAGCTAACGTCCGGGGACAGGCCTCCAACCCAGCAGCTCCTCGTTAAAGCACGATGCCACTCCTCCACCCTCCTATGTCACAGAGAACAGCTGCACACGGAGAAACTCCTGGCAAAGGAGTGCATTGTTGCTGGAACTTTCTCACAGCACCGGCCCCGTGGAGCCCCTCGGGGGGAACAGGGGTGGGGAGCCTGGAGCTCTGGGTCGGGTCTGCAGGCATTGCCCTGCGGCCAGGGGTAGGCAGGCCTGGCTGCACAGAGCAGGGACCCCACACCAGACAGACGCTCACTGCAAGGCGTGTCCGGGGACACTGGGTGCTAGCCACTGCTTTTCAGGACCCAGCCAGCCTGCTTGCTCTCATTAGAGTAGATCAAGGAGAAGGAGGTGTGTATAAGTCTCCTGCGTGTCTTTGGTTCTCCGCATGGCTGGGATGCGGCTGATAAAACAATTTATGTGCCCAGAACTGGGACGCCTTTTACACCTCGAACTCCTTCCCCTCTTCTGGGTTTTTACTGGCATTCCCTTTGAGTCTGGCCTGCGGGCCCCAGCCCGGGCTCCCACTTCCCTTCCCTAGTTAGAACTTTCTGCACACATCTGACCCAAAGAAAAGGGGGCTCTCGTATTAACGGGTGACTTTATTTTTGATTGCTAGAACCAGGAGCTGTAGGACATCTGAGTTTCACGGAGATTCTGGACACATCCCTCAAGGTCAGCTGGCAGGAGCCCCTGGAGAAGAATGGTATCATTACAGGTTAGTATCCCTGTCTCGGAAAAAGGAAAAACAAGCTGGCCCCAACAAGGGACATGGGCATCGCTGCAAACAGCCCAGCTGGCCGGGGCCACGGGCGCCAGAGGCCTCTGGGAGGTGGACACGTCTGCCTGGCCATCGGCAGAGGGCTCAGTCACCACCCCTGGCACCGTGCCCCCGGGACCCCACCTCCACGGGGCATGTCCCTGCATGGGCTGTGGCCTCCCGAGTCTTGTCTTAACAAACCTCCAAAGCCTTTGTTCAGGGAGAATCCGCATTTCGTGGCACATCCCCTCACACACACCGTCCCCCACAGTTCTCCTAGCAATGCGGCAAGGGTTGTGCCCCCATCATGACCCATTGGCAGAGGAAGCTGAGGCCCGGAGAGGCCCGCCTTCAGCACACGTGCACCGGATGCCGACTGGGTGCAGACCCTGCACTGAAATGCTGCCGATCTGGCAGTGGCCAGGTCCCGCCCCGCCTAAACCAGGGCCCCACAGCGGAGCCCGGGTGTCCTGGCTCCGGTGCCCCAGTCCTCCACCCAGTGCCCCTGGGACCCGAGGTGAGGACAGCCAGCCTACCAGGTGCCCAGACAGACTCCTCTCGGGCTGCAGGTGTCTCTTGTGGGGCTTTGATGATTTTTTTCAAACAGAAGAGCTTTAACCTTTCAAATTAAAGCTTAATTTAAGTCTTGGCTTGAAAAACAAAATTCTGGGTGGCTTCAGCCTCAGGGGAAGGTGGAAGCCTCACCTTACCTCCCAGGCCCTCCATTCTTCGTGGGGCTGCAGGGACGAGGCAGCAGGGCCGTGGCCGCCAGTGGCCCCATCCGTTTCGAGAACGTTACTTGAAATGTCAAGCCAGCCGCTCGGTGTGGGACATGTAGTTTGTGGCAGGTGCTCTCTGGGACTGCCTGCAACACCTCCCGTCACGTCCGGGGCTTCTGCCTCCGCCCTCTAAGCCTGGATCCCGAGGCTTCAGGGGGACCCAGCTCCTGAGTGAGTCGCGTCCATCCTGCTTGTGAGTCCGCTCGGAGCCTGGGCCACGTTCCTTGTCCCTCGCTCCGCCACCCGCAGAAGCCTGTGGGAGCCCACGCACACTAGCGGGTGCACCAGGGAGACCAGCAGTGAGGTCTGTCCCCCCTGCCTGGCCTCGTGGCTCAGGGCCCCTTCCCCCGCCGTGTCTAGGCAGCAGCAGTTTGTTTGTTCAAACAACCACGACGCACCTCGTACAACCCCCATCTGAGACCGTGGGTGGTGCTGTCCCACGGCCCCATGGCCAGCAGGGGACCAGGCCAGCACAGGGATTCGAGTGTCCATGTTCTGGCCTCTACATCCTCAGTGTGCCGGCAGTGAGGTTCGAACCATGCTCCTAACCCCAGAGCAGAGAGAGGTTCCCATCTTCCTGGGCTCACAGCCTCTCACCAAGTCTCTCAAGGTACCAGGGCCAAAGAAACCCCTCACAGCTGTTTCGGAGGTCACTTGGTGCAAACACCTAATTTATATGCTAACAACAGCTGTTTGAAATGAACTGAAAGAAAAAAATATTTGTATTTCCTTCTTCAAGCAAATAGGATGTGTGTTCCTGATGTTCCTGATTGGATCAGACTCTGCCCACCTTCCTGAATGTGAGATCAGGGTGGACCCCACCACCTTAATTTCCCACATCAGTCTTCTTGCTGTACCTGCTCCTGTATCACAGAAACCACCAGAAACTCAGCTTCGCAAAGACAGGATGTGTCCCAGACGGGCGCATAGCACACCCTGACCCTGACCTTGGGAACAGCTCAAGCTTGAGCTCCCTGTCATCCTCTGCGGACACAGGCAGGAGATGCCCAGCATCACTGTGTCCCCATGCTGTTTCTGGGGCTCCAGGCAGTGTCCCCTCCTGGTGCCAACCCCTCCTACTTTTTGTCCACAAAACACGTAGTTTCCTGTGCTCGGCCGGAGCCCCCTACAGACCACACCCCAGAGGGCACCCCTGCTCTGAAGCCGCCTGTGCCCCTAACTTTTAACCAGAGTATGTGTGTGGGTCTGGGTCTGCCTTCAGAGCTAATGCTTTGAAATACCCATGGTGAACGATAATGTAACTCCGGGAAGGGAGGAGCATTGCTGGACCTGGACCACAGGACCCAGGATGTGTGTTCAGTTCCCACAGTGAACGATAATGTAACTCCGGGAAGTGGGGAACATTGCTGGACCTGGACCGCAGGACCCAGGATGTGTTCAGTACCCACGGTCAACGATAATGTAACTCTGGGAAGGGGGAGCACTGCTGGACCTGGACCACAGGACCCAGGATGTGTTCAGTTCCCACAGTGAACGATAATGTAACTCCGGGAAGTGGGGAGCACTGCTGGACCTGGACCGCAGGACCCAGGATGTGTTCAATACCCACGGTCAACGATAATGTAACTCCGGGAAGGGGGGAGCACTGCTGGACCTGGACCGCAGGACCCAGGATGTGTTCAGTACCCACGGTCAACGATAATGTAACTCCGGGAAGTGGGGAGCACTGCTGGACCTGGACCGCAGGACCCAGGATGTGTTCAGTTCCCACAGTGAACGATAATGTAACTCCAAGAAGTGGGGAGCACTGCTGGACCTGGATCGCAGGACCCAGGATGTGTTCAGTACCCACGGTCAACGATAATGTAACTCTGGGAAGGGGGAGCACTGCTGGACCTGGACTGCAGGACCCAGGATGTGTTCAGTACCCACGGTGAACGATAATGTAACTCCGGGAAGTGGGGAGCACTGCTGGACCTGGACCACAGGACCCAGGATGTGTTCAGTACCCACGGTGAACGATAATGTAACTCCGGGAAGGGGGGAGCACTACTGGACCTGGACCGCAGGACCCAGGATGTGTGTTCTGCAGTCTCTCAGCACAGGATCGCCAGTGTGAGTACATACAATCACAGAGGCCTCCCGCCGCCCGCCGCAGAGGAACCAAACGCAGTGGGGGATGGGCAGAGAAGAGAGCCCATTTAGCTCCACTTCGCTTTAAGCCATACAGAGGGAGGACAAAGCAAGCCAGGCAGTGCTAGGGAAAAGAGAAGAAAAACACCAAAAGCACGTAGCGGGAGGCTGCCCTTGGAAGCAAAGATTGTCTCCAGCAGAGCCGTTGGGGACTGGTCGGTCCTGTGGCTGGAATGAGGGTTGCACTCACCATCCCTTTCAGAGGCGGAGCATCCAGCTGCCTGCTTGGCCTGTGGGCCTCCCGCCGGCCGAGCCTCAGAAGCCTGGCTAGGGCTCCTGGGTAGACATATGCACACAGAGACTTCCCTTCCTTCAGATACACGTGTGGTCCTTCGAGAACACACCCCACACCTCACTCCTACTGTAAATCTCCGGGGAAGCCCACGGGCGCACGTCATACCCGAGCGGGGCCAGCATTTCCCAGCTGAGCGGTGCTTGCCAATACTCCGATTTATGATCCTCTGTTCTCGCCAGCTAATAGGGCTTAATGAACTCATTTTCGTATTCTATTTAAACAAATCCATGTCGTTACAAGCAGCAGCCTATAGTCTACGTGGAGCTCGGCCTTCTGACGGCCATCCGCTGGGGTCCCCCTCCCGCCCAGCGGCCACACAGTCCCCACCTCGCTCGGCCTGGCCTGTGCTGTCGCCTTTTCCGAGTGTACTATGAAGTGTGCCCGGTGTCCTGGGAGCTCTGGGGGAGGCTGCGGAGGAAGAGGGCCTACGGGAGCTGAACCCACCGGTGGTGGTTTCCTGGCCCTCAGCGCTCGTCCCTCCAGCCGCCTCCCCAGTGACCCCTGCCCTCGGGGAGGCTCTGCCCCCACACACGGGTCATTACCCCCCACAGACGGGGCCCCGGGCGGGTCGTGCCAGCAGCACCACAGTCTATCCCAGGCTCCAGGTGGCATATCTCACAGAGAAGCAGAAGAAAAGCCTGGTCTGTGGGCAAAGCCCGCCTCGGAAAACCACGGAATGTCTTTCTGGAGCCTCTTGTTAATGCAGCTGCTGTTGGAGCGGCTGCAGGGCAGACAGCGGCCTGGTGTGGTCCTCTGCAGGGGGCCCCGGGTGGTCCAGACACCTGGGGGAAGCCATTCCTTATCAGCCACAATGCACAGTGTGCAGCCCCAGGCCTCCCTGTCAGGTCGGGGCCAGAAAGAGAGGGTGGCCCCGAGCCCGGGCGTCTGGTCCGTCGAGCGAATTGCCCATTGCACTTAATGTGAATCCCAGCATCTTCCGCTCTCCCTGCGTAAACTCTGATTTATGAGGGCCAGGACGCAGACAGACAGCCTGTGATTGGATGTACTGCTCTCTTGTACAGAATTTACTTCAGATCAACAGAAAATTATTTCTGAAGCTCCCGCGGTCGTTAGTCTCAGGCTGCATTCGGAGCAGGTAGGACTCCTGCCCACTGAAGGCGCCCGGCGCCGGCTAGGCCCCTCCACCTCCTCTGGAGCAGGCGAAACGTTCCCGGGGCCAGAGCTGCCACACGCCCTGCGCCCCACGCCCCCCCCCGAGGAGCAGTGCAGGAACCCAAGCGCCCCTCCACCCGCCACACCACCCCCGCTTTCTGTCCATCCCTGTGCCTCCCGCGCTTTTCCCCGCGATGCATCCGGGCCATGCTTTCTTGCCGCGGGGGCCTTGCTTGTGTCATATGGTCTTGTCTGCGGCCACAACGCCAGTCCACCCACAAGCCTGACGTAACAGACCCCAGCAACGCTGCCCTGCCGAGGATGCTGGAAGCGCTGGATTTGGGATCCAGGTTGCCGGGACGAGCCACATGCTGTGTTTTCGTAAATTTTGATCGAGAACAGCTTTTAAACAAATACAATTGTCTGGCAGATAAGCTTGGAACATAAAACAAAGCCCTGTCCTCCTGTATGTTCAGGGAAGACTCCGAGGATCAACCATTCAGCGATGTAGCAGGTGTGACCCACCAAGGTTGGGGGCAGTCAGGTGTGCACCCGCACATCAGCGCTTCAGAGAGAAGGCTGTGGATGGAGGCTCTGTGGGGAAGCGTGGAGCCCAGGCCAACCCTAGAAACCCCTGACAGTTTCCAGCAAGTTCATGAATCTCTTTGCACCTTCATGTTCTCCACTGCAAACGGGGTTAGTGACTTGGAAGTTCTGCTGTGAGGACTGAATGAACTAATGTAGGTGACATGCTTGGAACACCACAGGAACTTTGGGAACACTCTGGGTGCTTGAAGCTATAGATACTTATTGCCCAGAAGGCTTGATTTTTAATTGTGCCATTAGATCCAAAATTCTGAATTAATAAAATGAAAAGAACTGATTGGTCTGGCGCACTGAGTGGGGGGAGGCCGGATGTGGGGCACCGGGAGGGCGAGGAGGGAGAGTCTGAGGTTCGGAGGGAGCAGGGCCGTGGGTGGTCCGCCAGCCCGCGCACCGTGTGAAAGAGGTGAAGTCCGGGGGTGCCCACGGCCCAGATGGGCTGAGCGGAGCACAGGGGCCTGGGTGGAGACCAGATGGTAGTGGGGGAGATGTCGTATGCGTGGAGGCAGCCATGGCCGGCGCCCCTCTGCGCCCTCCTTGGATGTCCGATCAGCACCGCCCAGCCTGTAGGCTGTGGGACTGCAGACAGGCAGCAGCTTCTGACATTAATTTTTTTTTTCAAAATATTAAATTCCCGAGATGCTCTCTAAATTCTTGCTTACCTGCAAGCACAAGTTTCTAACCATATTTATTGCTTTCATCACAATGAGCTTTAAGACACCTCTTGGTGCTTCCGTATCCCTGAGTTTATTGACTGGGAAGAAGGAAGAGCAAAAATGTTTTCAGCTGTTCCCCTTGCCTTGGGACCCGCAAGCACCTTCCATCACTGTCTCCTGCTTTAGGAGACTCTCTGCCAGGTCTCTAACCACATCAGCTCCCCTCCATGGGGGTTGATTCAGGATCTTGCTGGGTTTTTTTTCTCTGAGTCTAAAGTTGCGGTGGAATCCGAGGCTGAATAAATTGTGGTCATGAGGCCCCACTGGACTGAACAGAGACCAGGGGAAAATCAAATTTTGCCAGGAAAACAGGAGGTTCAGAAAGTGGGGACGCAGCAGAACTCAGGCACTCAGGCAGAGAGGGACGTTTTAGGGAAAGCACTTTGCGCGGGAGAGAGTGTCTATCAATCATTTCAGGAGGGAAAAAGTGGCAGTGTTTCCACAAATTAGTGGCAAGCCAGGAGCAAGCTCCTGATTTAGAGTAGTGTATAATGAAAATATCAGCGTATAAAAATGGAAATATTGATTACATGTACCCACAGTTTAACACGAGGTGAAATCAGGCACCGCAGGCTGGCAGCCATCACTCCTCTTTCCCCAAGCCAGCTTGGGCGCTGGGGGGCGGGGGGACAGGGACCCCATGGACGGAGGAGGGGCCCGGCCCAGAGTCTCGTGTGGGCAGGACAGTGGGTTCCCGCCCGGCTTCAGCACACCTGTTGTTTCAGATCGTCCGTGACAGCAGCGGCATCCGGACGGCCCAGCTCACCCTGTGTTCTCGCTCCCCAGGCTACCAGGTTTCCTGGGAGGTGTACGGTCGGAACAGCTCACGGCTCACCCACACCCTCAGTAACATGACTCACGAGTACAAAATCAGAGGATTGTCGTCGCTTACCACCTACACCATTGACGTGGCCGCTGTCACCGCTGCAGGGGCTGGCCTGGCCACCTCGTCCACCATTTCTTCTGGAGTGCCCCCAGGTCAGTAAAACCCTCTAAGTGCAGGGCACTTCGAGGTTGCTGGTGCTCTGGGTGGATGGCAGCCCTGCGTGCAGGCCCGGGGTCCTTTCAAAGAGGGGTGTCCGCTTCCTGCAGGGGCAGTGGGGTGGCAAGTGACCCAACGTGGGCCTTGTCCTCCAGTGTCTGCAGCTGAGGTGTGGACTGGAGGGACGTGTCCCAGGGAGCGAGCTGGCCCCGAGCTCCTGCCCTGCAGGGAGATGGTCGGGATGTTAAAACCAAGAACAGGAAGCGTAAAGCTTTATTCGCTCAGCGAAACACTGGAGTTGTGGTTTGCGATAAGACAAGGGAGGAGGAGGGGGTCGGAGGCAAGGGAAGCTCTTCCAGACAGAGGGAGGCGGCCGCGCCCCTGCGGGCTGGGGAGCGCGTTCGGCTGGTGATCCTTGCCGTCCTGTCCTTTTTGAAATTCAGATTATCTTCCTAAACGTGCAGCTCACTCATTTCGGCCTCGGAGCTCTGCGCTCAACTCTTTTCTCTCTGATTTTAAAATTTATGTTTCAAGTAAGTGTTTTTCCTGGGAATTCACAAATACGAGGGAATGTGAGGAAGTATTGTGGGGTGGCTCCGGGTTCACTTCTGTCATTAAAGCTGCGGGTCTCTTGATCTTTAAAAGATGACAGTTTGCCTCATGCGGGTGGGTGTTTGAGGATAAGGCCCTGAAGCTCCCTCCGAAATCAGCGCTTCATCCTATAATGCCCTCCCCCTCCAGACCCGTGTTCGGAGCCCAGCTGTTCTCCTGGACGGGATGCAAGCACATAAAACATATACAGTAAAGAAGGGAATCAGCATGGGGATGAGGGTGTCCCCCTCACAAGGACCACGTCTGGAGAGAGCCAGGCAGTCCTCTGAGTTGTGTGTGGTGTCAGAGGAGGCATGGTACTTCCTCCCCCTGAGCAGGGCGACCTCACAGGACACTTTCTAGAGGCCAGTCGCCACCTGCCCTGCCCGCCAGGGAGGTGTCCCACAGCAAGCCTCTGTCCCCGATCAGCGGTCACTGCGCCCTCCCTCTGAGGCAGCAGTGGGGCGCCGTCCCCCACAGCAGCATCCCAGGGGCCCCTCATAAAGCACATTGCTGGGCCCCTGAGTGTGGGATTTGCCTCCGGAGCAGGTTCTCGGGCATGCAGACGCTGCTCACTGGGGACCACACTTTGAGGCAATCTGGCGTTTCTTAAAGGCATTGACAAGATACGTTTACTTTTTTAAAGAAAGAAGTTTTTGGCTTACGGGAAGATTTGTTTATTCTGTGTAAACAGCCCGTTCCCACAGCACACATTTAAAACCTTGTTAAAACTCCAGGGGTGCTTGGGTGGCTTGGTGGACTGGCCATCCGACTCTTGATTCCGGCTAGGGTCATGATCTCAGGCCCGCGTCGGGCTCCGGGCTGAGCATGGAGCCTGCTGGGGATTCTCTCTGCTTCTCCCTCTGCCCCTCCCCAGCTCGTGCACGCGCGCGCTCTCTCTCTCTCTCTGAAAAAACAACACTACTAACACTCTAAGAACTAGTGGTGGTGGCCTGATGCAGGATTTGTTAGAACTGTCCCTCAGAGGCTGACACTAACGTGGGGAGCGCCGCCACGTGTGAGCAGGTTTCCAGGGATGGCGTGGGCTCCATCCAGCCGCGGTGGGGGGCAGGCGGGCACCCCTCCGGAGGCACCGCAGAGCAAGAACTTGAGGGCAGAAAGCCCCGCTGTGCCAAGCACACCCTGACGAGCTGAGGTGAGGGAAGCTGTGGAGAGGCTGCTGCTTCCCCAGAGATCAGGTTACCCATAGCCGGGGATGGATCCCAGGGCACCCCGCGAATCTGCAGGAAGCCAACACACGACGACTATCTCTCTGGAGGGCCGTACCCCACTGGCTGTGCTTGAACCCCACACCCGTCAAGGTCTGGAGCACCGCTGAGAGAAGCCGGTGAGCTGAGACAAAGAGTCACTGTCCTTCGATCTCAACATTTTCTGCCTCAGATTCACTACACGAGATGTGGGAAGGCCCCTTGAGGTTAGGGTTGATTGTCCCCGTGCAAGTCTGGGTTTCCAGCACCCCCCCACCCCTGGTTCGGGCAGACCAGGAGGCGTCCCTCAGACACGGTACGGGAAGCACGCGGCTCCCGCTTCCAGCCCGGCACCCCTTTCCCTTTCTTCCATCCCACTGTCTTTCTCTAGAGTAGCTTGTGTTGCCCATTAAGATAAGAGGCTGCATTTCAGACTCGTGGCATTTCACTTCCGAGCGGGACAGGCTGTTTGGGGGGAGCAGCCTGCCATGGGTCTGTATTCAGTGAATGGGCTGCAGCCCCAGGTAACCTCCCAGGATGGGAGCCCATCAGAACCCCCTCCCCCTCTTGCTGGAGCAGCTGAGCTCAGGCAGAGTGGGGAGAGCTCCGCTCCTTCACCTGAATGTGGTTGTCTTGGAAACCAGACCTGGGGCCTAGGGCTCAGGACCTGCACACCCGGCACCCCTATGAGACACCTGCTGTCTCCCGCCTGCCCCACTCTGTTTGCCCCGGCATCATGGTCATACCAAGGGGAGGGTGGACATTTGGTCATGTTCTTTTCAGAGCCTGGAAGAATCACATCCATTCATCCTTTTTTGTTTCAATGAGTGTCTATTAATTACCTGCTGTGCATGGAGGTGAGTAAGTCCTGACCTTCAGAGAGGATCATCCAGAGGCCACATCAGTATGTGCCATCATCCCACTTCCGAGGCATGGGGCCTGATGCGCAGCCCCTGAACATAAGGATAGTGCAGGAGTCATGTTCCCAGGGAAGCAGCGCTTCTCACTTATGTGGTTTTGAAAACAAATCCAGGCATTTTGAAACCATTTACTTGCCGACATGTTTGGTGCGTTTCCTAAGCTGTCGGAACTTGTATCTATCTCCACGTCTTGTCTCTCCTTTGTCTCTAGAGCTCCCTGGCGCCCCATCCAATCTGGTCATTTCCAACATCAGCCCCCGCTCAGCCACACTCCAGTTCCGACCGGGTTACGACGGGAAGACCTCCATCTCCAGGTGGATCGTCGAGGGTCAGGTATGCTCTCGTGGGAGGGATGGCAGGGTTTCCAGAGTCGGGGCCCTGCGCGTGGGAGGCAGGGGACCAATGCGTCTGCAGAATGGCTGGTCGGGGGTGCAGTGGCTCCCGGGGGGACGGGGGTTTGGAGGATGAGAGCCAGAAACGAGACAATGGGCTGCCGGGGGAGGGGTGTGGAAAGGGAAGAGAGACAGGATGTCAGGCTGTGATCTGAATGGACCTTAAAAGGAGTGATAAGAGGGCTTCACATTCGAGTTTCGGCTCCAACTAGGTACCCAAATTGCATAGCATAGTTGATTTATTTCTTTTGAATTCCGTACAACAATAAGCTACCAAATGTATAAATAAGATGATTTTTTGGTACAACTCCTCTATCCTGTGAGGGAATGCATCTGCAGCGTGTAGAGAGCATGTTTGCGCCCAAGACTTTTCCAGGCAGTATGCGAAAAGGAGGAATTTCCATCTTGGGAGAAAAGAACACACATCACAGTCGAGGACCAGCAGGGAGTCCCGAGGGCTGGAGCCGGTGTGGGGAAGAGTGGGGGGCGCTGGGCTCGAGGAGCCCCGGGCACACATCCCACAGGGTGCCGGACACGGAGTTCCCCGGGACTGGGGAGCACCACACAAGCCACAGTTCCAGTTCCAACAAGAGCAGGAGATAAAAAGCTGAAGAAACAAACTCTGGAAGTAGAAAGTGTCAGAATAGTTCTTGTGTAGAGTAAAATCCCGGTGACTTTCGTCACTGTGCTTGTATTCTGTTGTAAGACAACCGTCTCTCAGAAATCGGCCATAATTTAGGGAACCAAGTCCACACACATCCTCAAAACATTCATTACGCCACAATTTCTGAAAGTGGATGCAGGAATCTGAAAGTGCAAACCAGCTGGTTGGGGCGCATCGATAGAAGGGTCTGGGACATCTGTTTCCTTAGGAAGAAATCAACAGCACATCCCTACCTCACATCAAGTTGAAAACAGGTCCCCAGGGAATGAAAACCAAAATGATAAAAGCGAACTTTAAAACACATAGAGGAGGGCGCCTGGGTGGCTCAGATGGTCGGGCGTCTGCCTTCGGCCCAGGTCATGGTCCCAGGGTCCTGGGATTGAGCCCCATGTCGGGCTCCCTGCTCCGCAGGAGTCTGCTTCTCCCTCTGCCTCTCTCTCTCTCTCTCTCTGTCTCTCATGAATAAATAAATAAAATCTTAAAAAAAAAACGCACAGAGGAGAATACAGGAGAAAAATCACTTTATCTCACGAGAACCAATTCTAGCGTCTCAGGGTCCACCAGACATAGCTGGGCAGGGATAGATACAGGAGCATGTGGGGCCGTCCGCGGCGCCAGGACGCCGTGCCCCGGGAACGCCAAAGACGCAGGTCTGCGAGCTTCAGACCCGCGCGGGGGGCTCTGCCGGGCAGCAGGGACGTGCACACGCCAACATGCTGGGGCTCCCCAAACAGGGCTCTGCTCCGTGCCTCTGGGGCCGGCCAGGAGCTCACGACTTCTGTGTGGGCGCTGGTGACCAGCACGCGGTCCTGAGCCTCCCTCCCTCCGTCCTTCCTCCCCTCCCTCCGTCCTTCCTCCCCTCCTTCCCTCCTCCCCTCCCTCCATCCTTCCTCCCCTCCTTCCCTCCTCCCCTCCTTCCCTCCTTCCCCCCTCCTTCCCTCCTTCCTTCCTCCCCTCCTTCCCTCCCTCCTCCCTCCCTCCTTCCCTCCTTCCCTTACCCCTGCTGTGTCTTTTCCTGAATTATCAATATGAAAGTATAGTTTTTAGAAGTATATTCAGTGCCTTTCAATCACCTGCCGTCATTATTCTTTGTGAACCTAACCTCAGCCCATCTTGGCCAGTGGGCAGCCCCCCATGTTCTGGGCTTGCTGACATGGAGATACCAATCTTTGACGATTTCATACACAGCGTGATGTCCCAGGATCATCCTGGGCCTTCCTGCCCCACAGCTCAAGCTCAGAGTGAGTCATTCCCATCTGGTTTTGTTTAGTGTCAGATGGTGTTTAAAGACCAGAGTCTGGGCACTGAGGGTGGGGAAGGGGTGCTCATTGCCTCCAGCGGGTCATTCTAGACCTTTCCAGGGGACAGAGAAAGGAAGCATCATGAGTCCATGCTGGTTTTCCCCTCAAACTTAAGATTACTTTAACTTGGGATTTACAGTTGAAATACCTTTTTCCTAAAATTGTGTTTTTAGAAATATTAACATCATTACTTAGGTTCTTTCTCCTATTCTTGTACAGAGAGTTTCACAATGGTAATTTCAATGGTACTCCTCACAATAAGACTACTGAATGCAGTGTCTAAGTATTTGTCCTTGGGCGGTATTAAGCTATGGATGTGCAAAGTATGGAGTTCTAAATTGTTCTCTCTGTGTGGTTATATCACCAACTTCACACAAAACTGGGTTCATTCATTTCAGGGTTGGGTTTTGTTCTGTTCTTTTGCTTCCATTTTTTAACGGCTGCTTACTTGAAAAACCATTTTACTTTAAAAATTGTTAAAATGCTTGAAATTTAATTCATTTTCCAACATGTAACTCATTTGTATGAGCTCTAAGTCAAAACCGTAGAATAGGTCTATTCAGAAACATTCCTGTTCCTCTTTCTGCCTTTACCCTGCGGCCTCTGTCCCCCAAAAGCCCCACATTAGGTTTTTGGTTTACCCTTTCTTGTGTTTGGCAACATAAGCAAATACACACGTTTTTGTTCCCTGCTTGTCGCTAGAACGCAGCACCCAGCCCTCTTCGCCGCGTCCCGAAGACCCTACGCATCCTGCAGGCAGATCTTCGTCATCCCTTCCCGCAGACACAGTCCTCCCCATGCCCGCGTGCCAGGGCTCGCCCAGCAGCGCACACCCCTGCTCTTCTGCTGGCATAAATGACCAAAACCTTAGTGGCCCAGACAGCACTCCTGCACTGGCTTACACATCTGTAGGTCACAAGGCCAACACGGGCTTCCTGGGCTAAAATCAGGGTGTTGGGAGGACTCCGTCTCTGTGGAGGCTCTAGAGGAGGGTCGCGGGTCCTGCTCGTTCATGTGTTGTCAGAATTCACCCCCTCGTGGTTCTAGAACCAAGCTGCCCATCACCATCCCCTGTGTCCGTAGCCACCACGCTCCTTGGCCCGTGGCCCCACTTCCTGCACCCCCTGAGCCAGCAGGGTCGGGCCCAGTCCTCCTTGGGCCTTGATTCCTCCTCCTCCTTCCGGCTCCTGTCTGTGACCACCCTCCTGCCTCCCTCCCTCTGCCACTGGTAAGGACTCAGGTGATTAGACTGGACCCACACAGATAATCCAGGATAATCTCCCTATTTCAAATCTCTTAACTGTAATCATATCTACAAAGTCAGGTAACATACTCACAGGTCCCAGGAATTAGGGTGTGGAGTTCCCGGGGAGGGGGGCGGTCATTATTCTGCATTATTGTCTTCAGCCTTTTGCATATCATCTTGAATCTTTGGAATGGATTCCTGGGAGTGGGGTCAGCAGATCGGACAGTGAATGTCTATGTAAATTCTCTAGACGTTACCAAATCCCTCTGCTGTAAGTGGTAACATACTGTACTCCCACCAGCAATATACATGAACTTTTACCCTGTCAAAAAAAATACAATTCTAATTTATCAGTCATTTCTTGCATGCTTTTGGGTTGTCAGTCACAGAAAGGTTTTCGCCACACTCGGGTTATAAAGGAATTCACCTAACATCCTCCTACCACTGTGAAAGTCACTGTTTTGCATTTAGCTCCCCAACCATTTGGAATTTGTCCTTATATGTGGAGTGAGGTATGAATCCATTTTTGTAATTTTGCAAATAGCTATGTGATTATCCCAAAGCCATTTAATAAAAAGTCCTGTTTTTTTTCCTCCTGCTGATTTATAATATTAAATTCCCATATGCACTTGGGTTTATTTCTGAACTTTTTATTCTCTTCTATTAGTCTGGCCATTCATGCACTAATGCCACATGGTTTAATTATAGAGGCTTTAAAATGTGTTTTCGTATCTGGTAAGGTCTTCCTTACCCTCACCACTGCACACACATGCACCCCTGCCCTTGCCGTGTTTAGGATTTTTCTGGCTACTCTTGTTGATGTCTTAGGACGGTGAGTCTTCTATCCAGGAACGTGACACGTATATGCCTGTTTGTTTAAATCTACTTTTGTCAGCTGTTTTCTTCTTGGCAAAAGCACTGGGCTATCTATTCCTACCCTCACTCTGCTCTGGAAAATGCAGGAAAAGTCAGGGGCAATCAGCGTGCCTTGAAAACTATGGTAGGAAGAGTGTGGGCTTTGCCTCAGGCAGACTTGTGCCCCCTTTTCCTCACGCCCCCCTTTCTCTGCTCTGGGATCCTGGACTTTTTTTTTTTTTTTAGATTTTATTTATTTGACAGAGAGAGAGGGGAACGCAGAGGGAGCAGCAGGTAGAGAGAGAGGGAGAAGCAGGCTTCCCAACGAGCAGGGAGCCCTGACGTGGGGCTCAATCCCAGGACCCTGAGATCATGACCTGAGCCGAAGGCAGACGCTTAACCGACTGACCCACCCAGGCGCCCCTGGACGTATTTCTTAAGTTCTTTGTGAGCCTTAATCTCCTCATCTGTGAAATGGGGTCAGTGGTACTTTTTGCAAGATTGCCATGAAGATTAATTAATGTGTGTGTAATTTTAGTTACATTTTCTGACATTCTGCTGACATATAGGATCACAATTGATTTTTTAATATTCCTCTTCTTCGAATGACTGGCACTAAGCTGCCTCTTAGCCTTGTGGGACAGGGTCGTAGCCAGAAAACTCTTGAGAATTCTCTTCTTACTTTACTGATTCTACCCTAGTTTTCTACAAAGAAGTCCCATCATCCATTAATAGTGACAGCCTTGTGTCTTCTTCTGAAATCCTGTTTCTCTTTTTTTGTTTTTTTTTAATTTATTTATTCTGTAGTCTTGGTGGGAGGGCGAGGTCCTCCAGTAGCATATTGAACTGGAGCAGTGATAGAACAGTGGTTGTTT